CGGAAAGAGATTGATGAAATGGCTCCGAGCGCTTTGGGATCTTTTCAGAAAAGGGGAAATTTGTCCAATAAGTGATCTTTGCGGCTAAATGAATTAGAGATTCTTCCAGCATGTCGGAATCTTTTGATTTGGGAACCAAGCTGCAAATTGATGACCAGCGAAGTGCGAAATAAAAAAGACATAATTATTGTACATAACTTGCAGTTACTAGCATACCTTTATTTTGGCGATTAATATTGGACCATACAACACCAAAAAGATTTTTCTGAGTACCCTCACTGCATGTTATTTAGACGACTGATCACCTTACACACCGAAACCACCAAATAACAACTATGTTTATATCATAATACATGCATTGACCTATAATTCAATTGGTGTAGGCCTATAGTGTTTTCTTTTCTTGAAGATGCCTTTTCTTGAAGCAATCAAAGATACAATCAATCCCCCGTTCAGACTGACCTGAAAATGAAAACGTAATATAAGAACAATCTTAAAGTTCAAAATCACATCACTTTTACAAAAAACACTTAAGCAAAATCAAAGGAAGCTCATATTTTCGACATTCCTAAGAAAGTGATAGAATGTAGAAGTAATCACGAATAGATCACTGGTTTACGCACACTATCATCACGTCAGTCAGCGTCTCTGGCTGTCAGAACAAGTTATTACGTCAGATAACCATCCCGGCTCAGTGTTGGAGGCCCAAAGATCTATTTTAACATGCAGCTTGCGTGTCCATCAGGTTTTTTTTACAAGTCAGAAGATGTGCAAATTGGCAGTATTAAAACACAAAATATGAATCAAAATTACATGATGGTAAATCAGAGGGACAAAGTCGGCGATTTGTGGACATTTGCGTAACCCTGCAACAATTTCGAGAAACGAAGGAATTCCTCTCATTGCAATCATCTAACTGTGGAAAATACCTGACTCAAGGATTCTCCGAAAATGCATGCAGTCGAAATGAGTTGGTCTGGCAACCAGATTATTGTAATGGCACATTTCGAAGGGATGTGCATTGGGGAATCTTCGTACGCTAACAGCAGAACATGAACATGCATATCGGTCTTGTGCATGGTGCATGAAACTAGAAACGGACCCAATCAATCAGACCCAATTAAACTGTCTCGTATCCCAGTGTCGATCCCATGGGTACAATAGTGCCGCACCATGTTGGTTCCCACCATGTAAAATGGTTGCATTGCACAAAATGTGATGAAAAGTCATTTTAACTGGTGAAATTAAGATTGGTATCAGTTCGTGAAAACGAAAATGCACGGAGTGCGCGCTGGAAGTGCGGCAGCGTGCTGGGTGATAGTTCGTGAAAACGAAAATAACTGGGTTCTCTAAAATGTGCAAAAATGAGATCACCTGGCGCTCGACTGAGTGTCATTTCGTGGTGTCGATGAAGAATTGTGTGTAACACACCACGTGTGGACTGTCATAGCCCCAGTATTATTGTTTCAGTTACATTCCTTCAGATTTCAGTTATCACTTGTTTTTAACCGTTTTTTTATTTAATTACATTTTTTTAGGGTTCGGTGTTTGTCTAAGTCTTTACTATTGCATTGAAATATTTTCAAGTAGCTTTACCTTGTAAGTGGTTTTAAGTCTTGCTTTCTAAAGTAACTTCAGTAGTTTTTCTTTGTAAAGTGCGTTCGATCATTGTTACGTACACTGCGCAATACAAATTTTTGTTTCTTCTTATTATTATAATGTGTGTGCAACAGTATTATTTGACTGACACTTAAGCATGGAGAAATAGTTTGGTTTCCTGTGAATTCACTGTCACCAGCAGGGAATAATGACCCAACTTAATAACTTGATGTTTACAACACGAGGGACATAAGCCATGGACCTCAGCAATAAGCTCTCCCTCTTCAGTTTCGAATTTTACAATGACCATATGGCATGATCGCTAATTAGCATAGCAAAATTGATGGTTATTTACCTTAATTGAAGCTACATGCTTTCTCGCATATAAATCCAGGCGTACTGACAGTTGCAGTAAACTGAGAATTGTTGAATCAGTCTCCATTACCCTTGGAGTACGTGAAGCCATTGTTCCTTGAATTATTGAATATCTGAACCAATGGAGTCCAGTTCGTCACAACACGGTCCTGTCCGATTATCTTTTTCTACATGGTCGTGTTTTTTAAACAATGTGGAAACTCGTGGATCATTCACCTTTGTTAAAAATCGCAAATCCTGTTGAAGTCTCACCCAAAGTGTTTTCGGTGTTTTTTTTTCTTTTCTGTATAATTTCATTTAAATGTCAACATCATTTTTTTCAATATAAAGCTTTTACTTAATGATTTTTAATTTTCAAATAACATTATAAATTCACATCAAGTAATGTGACCTTCATGCCACGATGTGTGGATAAGTATAAACCACTCTATCTCTATGTGTGTCTGTCTACTTTCTATTTTATTATTTTAGTAAGATGGTTTGTTACTGTTTCAACGGAGTGAATGGTTCTGTAAATAACTAGGTTCTTTAATCTCTACTTCACGAAGTGAATAGTTTTGCTCGCTGATGAGGGCAAATGTTGTTTCCTAACGTATTTATCAATGCTTCAGTGACATATTTTTGGTTTACCCAAACAATGCAAAGTTTCAAACCACCCCCTTCAATAACAAATGAAAAAGAAGCAATGAGCGAACTTAATTCAATTTTATTTAGGATTTATTTGATAAATGCACCACCAAATATGAAGTCGGGGGGAATAATATGGTTAACAAAGTTATGACCAAAATCGGAGATTTGCAAGGAAATTAAAAATAATTAATATCAACCAACTCCAACGAAACGTTTCATTCAAAATCCTTGGCTGCCAAGTGTTTACTAGTTGAAAAGGGTATTGACGACAAAGAAAAATATTGATAATACGTTTGCTCGACCACATTAATCTCGTGAACATATCTCATAATGACCCATTTCGCTAAAAGTATATGGAACCATGTATACCTCTTGCCCTGATGTAGAATGTCTTTTCGTGGATACCCATCCTCGAACCTTAAACCAGTCCACCATGCATGCCGAGATTTAGAATAAACACTTTGCAATATGTATAGTGTACGTGGACTTGCAGCTGGAAGCCGAGGACGGGTAAAACTTGGATCATCCTCGCAAAAAAAGTCTCAGAGTCCCTCCACCGAACAATTCTAAGGCAACTGCACCACACCCATCAGCCCCTAAACCACCGACTATTACAAGTTGATTTACTAACTCTACCTTTATACCGTGTATCTGTTTGTTTGTTTGTTTGTTTGTTTGTTGGGGTGTTTGTTTGTTGGGTTGTTTGTTTGTTTGTTTCGAACTTTGCCTTCGCCTCCTTTGTCGGCATTGTCCAAAGAGTCAATCAATACAAGCAATTTCTTCCTCTGACTGGCCTGAAACAAAAATCAAACAAAGGAGGTCTCAGCAAACGAAGCAAGTACCACTCTCAGAAAAACAAACCAGCGAAGACAAGAGGAAGCTGGTGGTCTTCTGTAAAATTTTTAATTCTCAAAGCAAGGGGCGGGAACCAGTCCACATGTAATAGCCATACTGCGCTGGTTCATGTGCACAATACGTGTAGCAAGTTAGGGAAGTATTACTTTCCTTTGGGTGCGGTTTGACAATTTACTTTTCATTATGAGCAAATCTGTCAGTGGAGGCACAAACGCAGGCGGGTATGGAGGTCATCCATGCATGACAGCCATCTTTCCGGTAACTGCTTTTGTTATACGGACGGATAGCACAAAATGTCTCCTCATGTGTCCCAAACTCCCTATGGAACCAAAGTTCTTCCTATAGCACCTATATAGCCAGACTTTTTTGCACAGAGAAATGTTTTTCCCGTTTACAAGCCTTACCATCCCGACTTTGCATAATATCGACGTTTCAATTTAGTAGCGTTGTATAATAAAGTTCATCTTAACTTCATTTCAAAAGTCCTTTCACAAATAGAGTGATGAGTAACAGGAAAAAGGATAAAAAAAATAAAGGAATTTCGCTTTTGCTGATAACAAGGATTTTTTTTAAAAGCTTGATATACTTTTCTTAAAACTGGACTCTTTGTAATTTTGTTTTATTGTCGTCCGAATTTCTCTTTCCAAAACATCACCCCTTTGCAGCCTACAACTCGGCACCCCTATAGGCTACATGAACGACGGGTTTACACCAGGGAAGCTTTCCACGCTGACACCTTTGGGCATTTTCACTCGTAACGGATACATAATGCATGAAGCCTATACCAGGAGCAATGAAGACAACCACTCACTGTGCTTGGTGGTGACTTCATCGCAGATTCGTTGGTATTCCGACGACTCTTTGAGTTGGTCAAAGGCTGGGTTCCACCAGTCCGGTAGGCGGCTGTCTTTACGGACCGTCATGCCAGCGCCATCTAGCATGCATGTGGTATCCGGGTCACCCAAGGCATCCAGATCTGCCTCGAAGTTGTACAGAAAGATGTTGCAGAACACAGCATCTATCTGAGGAGGGTTTTGGCATCATGAATCTGAGTGAGATTCCGAGGTTCGGAAAGATTCTGTTTCAAATTCGCCATTTACCAGACTTTAACAATCTTAATCATCTACAAACATTGTCTTTCCCTCCATTAAGCTCAGATTCCGCCGTTTTCTGTCATTATCTTTTGCAATCATTCTCATCTTTCCAATTTTCTTCATCAAAGTCTGAACTGTCGTCATTACAAGATTTCTCAAATAACACTCAAGCATCATTCTCGAAATTTATAGCGAAAATCGTTTTCAACATCTATCCCATCTCCACCTCGGTATCAAGCACTTCCTCGACTTACCATGCCTTCATTGATAGCTTGAATTACATCTTCTCTTGAGGTGAAGTGCATGATATGCTCAGCGGGAAGTTCTCCTCCCTATTCGGGGAAGAATTGGCGAAGGCGAAAGAGGAGGATGATTAAAAATTGGGAAAGAGTTTTACGTGTCATAGAATCTTGACGTTGATGAGGATACGAGTTAAGGATTAATTTAGAGAGGGCGATAGATGGGTTTCTGTAAGCGGGAAAACCATGTCGACCCTACATCCAAGTCGAGGACGAGCTGTGCTGAGGGAATATACCTTGATTCCGATCCGGATCAGGCATGCTTCGTTGGCAACATGGCCGTCTATGAAGCCGATCGGCCGACCTGTTATGTCTGAGCTATCGAAGCCTCGTGGATTGCCCCGTTGAACATAGAACCTGCTCGTGACGGGTTTGCGAAAGGGCTTGGAGAAGGAGACAGATGAGCCTCGCCCCACGGTTGGGAACCCTCCTGAAGGTAAAATTGCATTGGGATAAACGTGGTCCAGTGTTACGTGAAATTGGAATTAAAGTGAGATTTGGTCTTATTTCCTCTATCTATTGAAAGCGTTGTGATGTTTGGGGCCCAATAAAATTTTCCCCGAAGGATGAATTTCAATACTAGTTTGTTGCATTCAATGTCGGATGGGGGAGGGAGGTAAACGTGGCCAGGACCCTTCTTAAATATTGTTGGTCTGGATCTATCTTTTGCTGTTTCTGATGGTGCCGGGCCCCGTGATATATTAGTTACTACCTTTAATACTGATATTTTAAGTAGTTATTAAGAAAGGTTTACATAGTGACATTATGGACTGACTGCTTCCTTTTCAGAATAATTTTAAATTAAGCTTACCAGTGCAACCGTCGTACCAGCGACTGACAAGCCCCACGCCTGGGCGTGGTCGCTTACCAGCCTGCGAGTTGTAACAGTTCTCGTAAACATCCCACATCAGTCGGCAATTCTTGTTTGCCACATTGCAAACTGTAAGAAAAATCAGTGCTAATTTAAAGGTGCATTGTGTGTAAACCCTTATAACTTCATTTTGCAGAAGTACAGGTAAGCGTTTAAAAAGACATTATGTATGCATAGTATCTCCGTCGATTCGGCCTAAGCAATTCTCCCACATAATTACACCTGTGGCTGGGACAGACAATGGGTTTAGCAGTCTTTTAGTCGAGGTCAAGCCTGCGCGAGGCACGCAAACTGCTTGAGAAAAGACCAGCGCGTGATTCACTTCACCACCGGCGTACATGGTCGAACTTTATACAGTTCGTTTTCGCTAACATTTGTTTTGCTTTGTTTTTCATGATACTTATAACAGAGACGAGGCAATTTCCTTTTCGATGAACATGATAGTGGAGTGAGTATTAGAAGCCACTACCGTGGGAAAGCACACTTCAGTTCAGATGATAATTAAAATAGTTATTTCCATTTTGAGAAGAATCCCTGCAAATGGTACACATCCTCGTCCCTGACAGGGCGCTGAGAAGGCCAGAAATCACAGAGTTTTGTGAAGAAATTACGTCACAACTACAGCTGCCCGAGGATATCATGTAATAGTCTGACTCATAATAACCCTAATCAGCCCACATAGGTCACTGAAGCCACTGACGGCCATCTTACCGTCTTGAATACAAAGTAATACAACGGCTTCGTAGTCATTGTTCACCAAATCGTTCGTGGCCCAAACAGTTACAACCTTTCCCATTTCCCAATCCCCATTGGTTAAACCGATGATTACTTGTATTAAACCCACCAGCTTCAACCAAGTCAACATGGAAACCCCTCACAGTTCCAGACAGTTCATCTCTACAAAGAAAAGCAAATAAGTCAGACATTGTGGTTAGAACCATGAGACTGCCCATCATTGTAACAGGTGACCTTAAGATTTGTCATAATTATGCTACATTCAATAAAGGTTTCATTAGGTCTTTGCTGCGTTCGTTACTCCAGGTATGGGGCTTATTACTTCTTAAAAGTAACGGGATTTTATGAGCAAACTGCAGTAACCCCTAAAGTAGGTCCTACTTCCGAATTGAACCCTGTGCAGCGAACCCAATTAGGGCCATGGCAAGGGGGGACCCACTTGTACCAAAGATGCACCAATGAAACTTATCAACAGATCAGCACCCGTAGTGAATTTTGTTTGACAGAAGTAACGATATAAACGAGGACACTTACATGTATTCCAGATTGAATCTGTTGTCATGCCCAATTGCAAACACCCATATTTTGTCATCATTGTTACCTGCAACTAAGTCGAATTAAAGATTAACATGCAGGAATAAACGAAGTAAATTAGAGTGAAATTTCTAAGGGGGTGACCCAGGATGAACTTTTTCCCCAAGGGACACTGAAAGCAATATTGTTTGATTACATTTCAAAATTTGAAATGGGATAAGCGGCACCAGGGGCTGTAAGCTCCCACAAGGGGGTACATCGCCAGTGGTTACGCCTCTGGCTAAGGAGTTTCAGATCTGTAACAAAACATTGCTTGTAGCGCAATGTACATGCGCAGGACGACTAAATTGTCCCAACAGAAGGAAAACCCTTTTTTTCCTCAGGTATACAATCATTGTGTGGAAGTTTTCGGTCAGAGAGCAAATAAATACTCGCCAGTTTTCCACAATGGTTATCGGTAGTTCCCAGAAAGAAAACGTTACAACCTTCTGCCTCAGTTTTTATACGGCGGTGACCAATATGCCAATTCGTGCGTTCTCCTCTTCCGAAATGAAATTTTCGAATACTGTTTACAGTGGCTGACATTTCCCGGCATTACAAAAATCACAGGACACGCCCTCATCCCCTTACAGGGCCGATCGTTAAAAAAACTCACAACACTGTCTGTCATGATTCGCACCTTCCGTAGAGCTGTGGATATTACCGTTCATTAACTGAATCGTTTGAGTCACCTCCTGGCGAGACAGGGCGACCGCGGAGAACACCAACGCCAAGACGGCCACAGTACCGACCAATAGCACGGCCGTGAAGAGGAAGAATACACGGCGTTGGGCAGGTAAAATGTCCACACGATTAGTACTCAGGTCTTCGTTGGCCATGTTGTTGAGTTTTAAACTATATAATAATCAGGGTTTTTGCCGGCATGGATAGAGACCCTATACCATAGAGCTCTGGTTTTCTATATAGCTCTGTACCCTATACAAATACATGTACAGAGGGATCCCAATACGACGCGTTTAGGAACGATCTGCGCACTTCCGCGTTCAAAGCGAGGCTGTATGTGCCCCCGAAACTGCAGTTTCGGGGGCCTGTGTACGTACGTGCACGATCTTCCAAAATCCACACACAGTGACTGGATCATGGCCGCTCACTCCCAACTTTCGCCATCTTGAGTGACTTTGCCGGATTTTTACGACTGAAAATCGGATTCCGGATACAAAATACAAAAAGGTATGTGTAATAAAGACTTCTGAGCCTGCAAATTTTTGTTGAAGAGTCTCTTAGGATCTGTGAAAGAACAAATTGTGGCTGTTTTTGTGACTTGATCTTCGAAGTGCGGCCGCGCACATG